CCGCGGCCCTGAGCGGCTCTCGCTGCCGCAGCCCCTCCACCCCCTACAACAAGTCCAAGCGCGGGCACCGCGAGGAGGAGCAGGAGGATCTCACCAAGGACATGGACGAGCCCTCGCCCGTGCCCAACGTGGAGGAGGTCACCCTGCCCAAGACAGGTTCGGGCTGGGGCTGGAGCAGCGAGCCCTCCTCCTCCTCCTCCTCTTTCTTCTCCTCTTGCTTCTCATCTTTCTCTTCTTCCTGCTTCTTCTCATTTTCCTTCTCTTACTCCTTCTCCTTCTCCCTTTTCTGCTGTTCCTCCTCCTTCTTCTCCTCCTCCTCTTCCTTTTCCTGCTCGTTCTCTTCCTCGTTCTCCTTCTCTTCCTTCTCCTCTTTCTCCTTTTCCTCCTCCTTTTCTTCTTCCTTTTCTTCTTTCTTTTCCTGTACTCTTCCTCCTTTTTCTCTTTTTCCTCTTCTTCTTCCCCCTTTTCCTCTTTTTCTTCTCTTTTTTCTTCTTCTCTTTCTCCTTTTTGTCTTTCTCCTCTTTTTCCTCTTTCTCCTCTTTTTCTTCTTTTTTTTCTCCTCCTCTTCTTCTCTTTTTCTTCCTCCTCCTCTTCCTCCTCCTCCCTTCCCCTCCTCCTTCTCCTCCTTTTCCTTCTCCTCCTCCTGCTCTTCCTCCTTGCCCACCCCGTGCTGGGGCGGCTGGGTCGCCCTGCTCGGGGCGCTCAGCTCCTCTTCCCCCCATGCCGCAGTGAACACCAAGAAGGACTCAGAGTCTGCGCCCGTCAAGGGGGGCACCATGACCGACCTGGGTGAGTCCCGCGCGGGGACGGCCCCGGGGCCGCGGCGGGGCCGCCTCGGAGCAGGGGGGGCTCCGGCTGCGCCGCCCCCAGCGTCTCCCTTGTCCCTTCAGATGAGCAGGAGGACGAGAGCATGGAGACGGCCGGCAAGGTGGGGACGGCGCGGCGGGACGGCGTCGGCGACGCCGCTCTGGGGACGCTGTCCCCGTCCCCCCCCGGGGGCCGTGGGGACGCAGGGTCCGTGTCCTGCAGGACGAGGAGGAGAACAGCACCGGGAGCAAGGGGGAGCAGGCCAAGAACCCCGACCTGCACGAGGACAACGTGACGGAGCAGACGCACCACATCATCATCCCCAGCTA